TTCTATTGTCCTATTTCTATTAGAGTAAATCGCATTGTGCTTGCGCCGAACGGATTATAAATTATGCCTGTCAGCCGCTGAATCGCGGGAACGCGCAACGAGAATCGAAGCTGTGCCTTAATTCTGCCGGTCGTGATAAACAGGTTGCTATAAATCAGACGATCAACTCAGAGCGGATCGGTCTTCGGACTTCTCGACAGGAGGAGTACAGTAATTTCTTCCTAATTCGCGCTCAGATTGCGCACAAAAGTGGACAATTTGGGAAGAGGAGACGCGATTATTCGAGCCCTGAGTCTCGTTTATATAGTTTCTGACAAACGAGCCGCAAGGCTCGAATAATCGTATCTCTTCTCCAAGAATTATCCATTTTGTGTGCAATCTAAGCTGTAATTAGGTAGAAATTACTGTGCCAAGGGAAATCGAAATGACCCGTTTAGCATTTCTTTACAATCGTTTCTCGTTTTCAGTACATCTCGTCGTAGTCGTTTCACCGACAAAAGATACGTCAGTCTAGTTGCAGCGTGAAGCGGTTTCGCGATGGAAAGCCCTGTAACAGCGTCGATATTAAACCGGCTGATTAGAGAGCATCGAGCGAGCCGAAGCTCTAATCCGGAGCAAACAGCTCGGACTTGTTGAACGCGTGCCGCAGTCACGTCGAAGACGTTCAATTTGCCGAAACAGGTAGACACAGGCTGACTCGGAGCGGATTCGCGTGGAGTTACACGGGCTCGATGGACACTCGAGAAACAGGTTCCCAACCGTGGGTCCCTTAAAACATGCAAACAAGACGGGAAAGCGAGTTTCGCCTAAGGGATGCAGCTTCCCCGAGGTAGCGAGCAATTTGGCTCCGGGAGGAGCAGGAAATTGCAATTCTTTTGTCATTCGCCGCGCGTTTTCTGGCCCGGTTGCGTCACGCTCCGCAACAGACGATCTTTATTATTATCCGGAACCCGGCTGCGACATTGTTATTCGCCGTTTCCGGCCCGGACCCCGGCCGTCCCCTCGAACGTTCCCCGAAGAAAAGAGCACGCGAAGAGAAGACGCATTGTGGTATCGCGCGCGCGCGTGTTCGGGATTCGTCGCGCATGCGAGCACCGTCGAGGATCCGAATTACCATAACGACATGCATGTATGGAGGAGAATCGCGGCGGGATCCGACGGGGAGAACGATCCCTTTTCGCCCAGCCGGAATCGTGAATTTTCGGGTGACCTTGGCGCCGCGGACGGCACTCGCGAGAGCCGAGCTTTGTGAAACGCGCACCGGCGAACGACCGCCGACGCTGAATAGACTGGAAGTTTATAAATCATGGAAATTGCCGTTCTTCCGTAACGACGCGGGATGGAACTCCGTGGATGGAGCTTGTTTTCGGGAGACTGCCCCTCGTAAGCTTCGTTATACCAGCGCCGTAGTTACCCGGGCTACAAAAATTTTCTTCTCCTCCGCGGCAACGCGATTACTTGTTTGCATACCGCATTCGGCGAGATGTTAATGGCAGATGAGACCCAAGCGCCATTTTCCCCGCCTCTGAAAATGAAACATCCCGCGCGCACCGTTTCCTATTAACGCGCTTTCGCGGCGGGCAACGGCGTCGAAGAGAATTTTTAGGGAGCCCGAGAATCGCTCCTCTCGTTCGCGAAGCGTTGATCCAATGGGATCGTGTACTCGAGATGCGAGATCTGAAACGTATCGCGAGGTATTAATGAGAGAATGTAGTTGTTAAAACCGTTTAGCTATTTGCAAATTATACCAATTTGTTGAAATTTCAAATTCGAGCTTAATGCAAGTCAAGTGAATCGTTTTATGCAGACCAGAATATGTTAGAACGTGCAACACGAAATGTGTGATTATTCGAAGAGAAAATCTAGTTACATTTTTTTTTAATCAAATGAATATTTTATCAATCAAAATATGCGCCGGTTGGTTGAACGCATTTCTGCGGGCTCTCTGCTTTTACGGGGTTTCGGTAGAAAATTCCTCTTTAAACAGAGTCGCGAAAAAATTCCTCGGTATTTGCGAGGGATGAGAAACCCGATATTTCGTGTTATTATTTTCTCCAATTCTCTCATAGGATTATTTCGATTTTTCAATTATCGGCGATAAATTCGTAGAGAAATTGTTCAAACAAAAGTTGCTTAATAATTACACGACTGGAAATCCGAATAAAAAATTGATAAAAACTTTTCGTCCGATAAGAAACTTCAGATTACTTAAACTTCTTTCAAATAAAGCTGTACTCTCGAGTTATAAATCGAGTGATGAGATTGATCTGCTTAAAAAATCTCTTAGTTCAGCAGTGATTAATTTCATCCCGAATTCCCTTACAGGTCAGCACGCTGTCCGACGTTCAGTGAAAAATGAACAACGAAAGGCGAAAAAATTACAATTTCATCGGAGCCGGAAGAACAATTCTGAATTTCGACCCGGTATCGAAAACAGCTCCACTTGTCCGTCTGTTTTCGGCCGTTTCTACTTATCGCGAGAACGCCGCGCCGGCGTAATTTTCAATATCGATTTATCGGTAAACGAAGCGTCGCGTCGGGTCGCCCGGTGAAAAAATATACTGCGCGTTTTCGATTCATGCTTCCTCGGAGAATGGTCCCGTTTTTCGCAGGCTCGAATCGACGACCGTATCGAGGCATATGCGCTTTTTTTCGGAACGGAGTTTCGCGAAGCAGAATCGTGGAACATTTGATCGCCGGCTCCCTCTCTCGCAACCTTGTCGCTGTTATTTATTTCACGGGCAAATTAATTCAAGCAGCGTTCCGGGACGTCGAACGACCGGACGAGAACGGGTCGACGGATCGCGAAAAAGGTCGAACCGGCTGGCATTACCACGATGCATACATATATGGAGGAGCCCCCTCGGAATCCCGGTAGATCCCTTTACCGATTCTCATCGGAAATTTCTTGCGACCTTCGGAGAGCGCCGCGAAGCTTCCCGTCCGGATTACATCAGCATGGATTGCGCGTAATACCCTGTAAACCGCGTAAAGCTTTCTTTCGTTTTTGCGCCGGGCTTTCATCTCGCCCGAGATACGGCGCTAGTTTTCAGAAATATCACCGACCGATCGACGGGATCGTTTCAGAGAACCTGGATCCCATATTCCGCCTCTTTGAGAAACCATTTCGCGAATAATCAGTATCTAGACACGCTCGGAGCCCGTACATTTCAACTGGGAAAATCTCGAATTTAATGTTAGAACTATAAATGAGAAAAATCGTAGGTACTGTATATGTTTCCTTAACGCTAAACCTACCGCGGTCAAAGTGGCCGCTTTCTTAATTTGCAATTCTGCAATGTTCCGAGACTCTTTTGTGGAAAACGCTTGAATAAGTTATACTATTGTGTGGAGCTAGTTTTATAATTAAAGCTTTACAAATTCCAAATAAATTCGGTCTTCTCACTTTTGCGGAGCAGTACATGCCAGTTAGTATTACTGCTTGGTAGGTTTAGTGTTAATTAAACGATATTGATTATATTTTAAATGCAGAAACGAGATTTTGAACTCTTTTGAAACATCTCGAGGGATTACAACGATAAAATTTAACTTTCAGGAAAGAAGTTGAGTCGCGTGGCGTTGCTTACAAAGGCTCGAACCGATAGAGAAACAAAATGGAACCAGATTCACGCATTCATGTCCTATTAACTGATCCAAAGAAAAGACAGAGCTAAACTAGAAAAAGTTTCTTCGTGTAAGAAAAAGTTATCTTAATCTTATATTAATGTAACGTTTATTTGCTTCAATATAAAATATAAATACGTCAGTTCAGTAGATACAGAGAGCCATGAGCAGACAGAAAAAGCCACAGCCACTGTGCACTTTATTTTATAAGGTCATATTCGATTTACCTTAAAGTATTTAGTATTTTCTCCAACACCAAGTATAAATACCTTGTTTAAGTAGATACAGGGCTTCATAATCAGACCATTCCAAAACTAATGTACTCCATAAAACTTCAGTAGAACTCTAAATCACAAATTCTCGATGCATTTACAAAATATTGAAACTGCAACATTTTCTACAAGCAGCACGTGTTCAGTTTCCCAGCCACGCGTTACGCAAGAGAACGATACATGAAAATGAATAATGTATAGCAGAAGTAGAACCCTCGAACTTTCGAATAAGTACAGGTTTATAGTCGTACTTCTCCTTTTTACGTAATCACAACAGTTCGAACGTAGACAATCGAGTGGGAGTTAGAATCACAGTGGCGTGAGTGATATTTTCGAAACTTCTCACTCGCATCTTTAGTAAACGATAACGCTGCTTGCTTCTCGGAATGAGAAAAATGCGACCCACGCCACTGCGATTCGAACCAAATGGATTAGTCGCGATCGGGAACGCGGTGCGCGGAGACTTCGCAGAGTGTGCTAATTGCCGTATTACAGAAAACGTGAGATGACCGGGAGTGGTTTTTCGGAAAATACAGTAACAGCCGCGGGCTGCTTGAAAACCGAGAACGGCGGGGGTAATCCGGGTCAGTGTTAAAAGCCTTCATCGATCCCGCGGCGAAAGCTTTTCTAGCTCTCTGCGATTAAAACGCCTTCGATTCCGAGGATTTCATATCGCGCCGATCCCGCGCTGCTCGTTTTATTATGTTTCACCGGCTCGATTATGCGGATGATCGCCGAGCGGGAAGACGAATCGCCGCGGAGTCCTTTCGCGCGGCGCAAACAATTCTCCGGGTAATTAGCCCGGAACCGGACGTAAATCGCCGATAAAACGGCATTTGAAGTTTATCGCGCTGCTTCGGCAGAGAGAAAAAGAGCAATAGGCCGCGAGAAGGGGTACAATCGGGGTCCTTGAGGTCATTATTGTACAGGTTGGATCGCGACGGGTTGAAAAGTTTGTTGGTCGTTTGCCAGGCTCGAGGAACGAAAGCGCCTTCGAAAAGTACTTCTGGAAAAGAGTCGAAATAAGGCGGGAGAATACAAGAGAGAGAACGCGAGAGAGAGAGAGAGAGAGAGAGAGTGGAGAGAGACAGCAAGCGGGAGCGGGCAGAAATTTCACGGGCCACTTAGGAACGATACTCCTGACGATTCTTTTCAGCAACGTCGTCCTCATGAGTTATGAAACATCGTTGCTCGATCGGGCGTACCTTTCATATTTCCTTCGTGCTTGTTCCCGCGTTGTTTTCGCCGCGGAGAACGTCCACGGTGATGTACTTTCTGTCGGAAATACGAGTCGAATCGTTCATAAAGCTTCCAGGGTATTGGCTGGATGCCGCTCGACGATAGGTTCGCCTACGCCCCGCGATTTCTCCTCCGCCGACGCTGCGGGAGCATGCTTCTATTACACGGAGTATCTGATGAAACGCTGTCTGGAGATCTGATAAAGGAAACTCGTCCCGTAAATCGACCGCGTCGACAATCGGTTTTCCCGGCGTCCTCCTTGGACGCCTTCCGCGGAACGCCGTCCGGGCATCTCTCGAATTATTAAAATGAAGAAACACGGTATCCAGCGGCGGCTCGATCATTTATTATAAACCGGGCGAGGACACCGAGGTAATTCGCAATCGGAAAGTAATCAGCAGGTGTCCGCGATACAAGGCGGGTCGATTCGCCCTACGACGGCGGTTCCGGGCGATTTGAAATTCAAAAGCCGGAATAAATTCTCGCGGATACCGTGCTCCTACGCGCCGGTTTTATTAGGTCTCCCCGGGTGCCGCGGCGACGAAATTGCAGTCCGAGAGATACCGGCAAGTGTAATTTTCGAGTTTGCCCGTTTTATTGCGTGCCGGTACATTGATTCCCGTTCTCGGCCCGAGCTACGTCTCCTTAGCCAGATGCTGGAAACCCGGCGATACGGTTTAACCAACTGCTAAACGAGAACAAATCACGACGGTCTTCGCGGGAGCCGTTTCCCAACGGGTTCTCGATAACGGGAAATCTGAAACCGGGAAACTTGGGGGCGCGATATGTTTCCCAGATATTTTGGCAGTCTGCGGGCAAGTCGATGGCGAACTCGACTGGCAAGACAACGTTTCGGTATCGTCGGGATCGGATAGTTTTTGGGAGACATTACTATGGGTTCCGCTTGCCAGATTGAACTCGGAATAAATCTGTTCGCGCACGAACTTCCCCGCGGATGTTTGTCAATGGATGAGGAAGTAGTTGCGGACCGAACTGGACCGGCAGCAGTTGGAATTTTCGAGCTCCGAATAGTTTTTGGAACAATGCTGCCGGAGCTCTGCCAGCCGGATGGGCCTCCGAATAAATCTGGGACCGAACAATCGATCAATGGTGGATCTTGCGTGAGAACATTCTGACGTACACGAGTTATCCAAGCATTCGATAGTGGGTAAAAAATAAAAGGTACCAAGTTACGCTGGTCAGACCGCGTTGATATCATCGAAGTCGGATAGTTTCTGGATACGATGCTTCGATTCTACCGGAGCCAAATAGAGCTTGCAATAAATCTGAACTCGGTTGAGCTAGACGGTAGACGCAGCGTCAGAAAATTCGGGCGGAAAGTTCCTCGGATGTTTGTTAGTGGCTGGGCAAGCAGATAAGAACTGCAGCGACCAGAGTGGCAGCATCGGGTGCAGATGGTTTTGGGAGACAATGCAGATACCGGTTCTACCAGATAGCAGAGCTACGAAGTTGAGTAGATACAGGCAACAATGGTCAGACGTCTGGAATGCTCGGAGCTTACGGGCTCGCGGAAAAGAATGGGCGATATGGAAGGCGGCTGCTGCGAGCGAGCAAACGCGTGCCGCGTGTTCGGGAGGTATCATTGGCATGCGGACAGAGGGAGAAAACGGTTCGGCGATAGCCGGCGAGCGGGAGACAACGACCGGGGCGCGTTGTATTTAGGTCGGGATCGACTGCTCGTTCAAATAATCTCTCGGAGGCACGTCAACAGGGAACGGTGTCATCAGTTTGACCCTGTTTTCACTTCGGTTCGATATTGCGATCCGCGAGCTCGCGCCGCGCATTCGTCGATCGTGCTGTCTGACAATAGCAATAACGGTACACAGTCGATTAGGCTCCCTTTCGCTCGATTTTCCCGCCGGCTCCTTCTTCGCCTTCTGCTTTCCTCGTATTTCCTCGGCCGGCTACCGCCTCTCCTCGCCGCGATACGGTTTTATTGCGCGCTCGCATGTGAATATCGATAGCACGCCGTTCCCTTTTCCTCCGCGCGTTCATATTAATCAGACGCGAGCATTCCAAGGCTGATAACGCGACCAGAATTATCATTATTATTGCGCCGGTTCAATTGTTCTCGGATGGGCCCGGGTTTCCGCGGAATTCGACCAGCATATTTTGCGGAACGTCGCCGCCGGAGCTACGACTTTTTCAGCAGGTGCAAAGACACCGTTCTCAAAGAAAACCGCGTGCGGAATCCGTCTGGAAGAATGCGCGGCTTGCGAGCGAGAATTTTCTTCTTTTTATTCAAAGTGAATCCTCGACGTGCGAGAAGCAAAAACTGTTTCTATTAGGTAAATTATTCGGGACGGAGAAACGTAGCTGTGAAAAAAGAAATCATAACGCAAGGAGTATATTGAATATTTTGATAAAAAAATTGGAGCGACGAGCGTTAATCCCTTGCACTGTAACAACGTCTCTAAATCGAAACGAAATTTGATCCTTCTGCGATCAGAATCTAGGAACGGAAATAAATAAGAAATGCAAAAAGTAAAAACTACTTTAATCTATTTGATAAATTATTAGCGACGAAGAAGTGCTAACTAACGTAGCTGTGACAGAAATGCGCACGCTTATCGATCGCTTTATGCAGACTTGCAAAAGGTCAGACCATTTTCTACTATGAATGCATAAATACCTGCAGCCGACAAATTGCTATTAGATAAATTATTAGCGACGAAGAAGTGCTGATCAACGTAGCCGTGACAGAAATGCGCACGCTTATCGATCGCTTTATGCAGACTTGCAAAAGGTCGAACCATTTTGTGCTATGAATGCATAAATACCTGCTGCCGATTAATTTCTTACGTCAGATAATGTCGCGTGAGAAAGTAATCGATAGTACGGTGAGTTAAAGAATCGATGGAACAAACCGTAGAAAGTCCGAGCGAAATTGCTTGAATCGAAGAATTCGATCAATCGAATTGAGACCGTTTTTCGGGGATTCGTGCTGAATCTGAGTGGATTAGCGGATCGTCGGAAGATCAGGTTCCACTGTCCATCGAGCCGGATTCCAAGGACTAATAGAGCCGGAGTTGCCGAAGAACGGGGTAACAGCGGCAATAAAAGCCGGATCATAGACGACGGGGAATACACCATCGAGCCGGAAGTTCCAGTTTACGGGTTACGATTGCTGCGGAACGGCGATCGGCAAGTTTCCTCGGCGTTTATTAACCGCGAGGCACGGGCCTTGCGTCGCGACGCCTCTCGGATACGACGCTCCGGGGCGTTCGACGAATAGTAAACTGTCTTGCCGGAATTATACTACGAGGGATTAGGAATGCGGCCGAGTCGGTGTACACGGTCGGTCGGGCGTCGGTGAACCGTGCGAGGCCGGAGGGCGTGGATCGCGATTCAACGGGTCCAAGATCGCGGCGCGACGCCTAGATCGCCGTAACTCTCCCGACCGAATTCGGGGACGTATTGTCATGGTGATCGAGGACGATAATGGGAGACGGAGTTCTGGGAATATCGATGGACCACCTCGGGAAACCGCCGAGACAAGCCGCGCCGCTGAATTCGAGCACTTTTATTCGCTGGAATAGACACCGGCGATCCATAAACCCGTCGAACCGTGAAACGCGAACATTGTCGCGAATGAAACGCAACCGAGCTGAGCGCGTTCGCGAATTTGCCGCGGAACGGCAAGCCTGAAATTTGCAACAGCGCCCAGTTTTGTACGCTTTGAATACTTTCCAAGGGTTTAATTATAAATATTTAGTCAGGCCGCATGCAAACGCGGAAACACTGGTTTTATTATACGGACGCCGCTCTCTCTCTCTCTCTGTCTGTCTATCTCTCTTTCTCTCCTTCTCCTCTATAGTGCACCTCGCCGGTATGCATTCGTTTATCCATTATACATGATACAGTGGCGCGTAATATAACGTGAAAATGTTTCGAAATGGAAGGAAATATTACCATTGCGACCGGAAAAAAGTTGCTCGATGAAAGAGCATCCCCCTAATTGTCATTGTTATGTTGTCGATAAAGCTTGGCACAGAAACCGGGAGAATTATAAGGGGTCGCGCGGCATTCCGTTATAATTGGTCTAAACATTTGTCCGAAATAATTAACACGTTCACTGCCTCTTTGTTTGTTATTGTCCCGCTCTGATAGGTACATAAACGCCAGTAGCGCCACTAATTATCACTAAAATTGAAATAACTCGAAAGATAATAAAGCTCTCGAGCTGAAATGTTCGCAGCGATTTGCGCGTGTACACGACGTTGGAAGAGAATTGGCTACGGATTTTTCAAAGAGAGATTCTTTGTTTTCATAAAAGAAAACTGGTAGTCGACGACTAATTTAAATTTGTACTTTTGAAAAGACGAAGATGAAAATTGATAAACAAATTTCGCTGAAATTTCGCAGCTCGTTGGATTTCATTGAATTCTGCAAACAAACCTCCACTTTTCGGTGCGTTTTCGTGTTAATTACTATTTCCTCGCTCATAATAAAATTAAGAACATTGCTTCAGAGTAAAACTTATGCAACTGAAACATCATTATACAGTAATGCCTCTCTAATTTACGCTCAGATTGCGCGCAAAAATGGACAATTCGCGAAGAGAAGATACGATTATTCGAGCCTTGTGGTTCCTTTTTATAGTTGTGAATGGTCAACAACTATAAAAACGAGCTGCAAGGCTCGAGTAATAGTATCCTCTCTTTCCAAATTTTTGTGGACAATCTGAGCGTCAGTTATATTACTTTGTAATATATATAGATAGATAGATAAATATATTATTATATATAGATATTACTTTACTAAGTTTTTATAAACACCATGGAAGGGTTCTTTATACTGCTTCGACAGTTTTAGAAAAACGGTTCTGTCGATTAATAAACAACCGAGTTTACCTTTGTCCGGGGTCGATTGTGGTTGTAGAATGCCGGGCGAGAGTCAAAACGGGATGACAAAACGGTCGCGGATACCGCCGCGATAACGATACAGGCAGGCAGAGGAGGGATCAAAGGTCGAGAGGGCAGGTGTGCGTGAATCAGGCACATTCGGGCTCGATCTCTCGATGTGTCGGCATCGACGCCGCGCGAGTGAAGTTTGCGATCACGCGGCGGTGTGCTGTGAAAGCGAATCGAGGAAAGTTTTGATGGAATCCACGGGCTGGT